AAGAAACCCTGTCTCGAAAAACAAATAAATAAAAATAACACAAAAGCAGCTTTAGGAGAAAAGAGTTTTCTGTGGCTCACAGTCGGAAGGTTGCGGTTCATTGCTATGTGGAAGTCACCGAGGAGGACTATGAGGAGGCTGGTCACATTGCATGCAGTCAGGAAGCAGAAACTGACAAAGCCTGGCGCTGAGCTGCCCTCTCCTTTCCTACAGTCCAGGATTCCAGCCCAGACAGTGCCCTTCCCCCTCCTGAGTGCTCAGTCCTCCGGACCCCAGTCTCCATTCCCACAGGAGAGCCCCGCCTGGCGGCTCTTCCTCCCTCTGCCGTACAAAACGATGCCTGGGTTGAGCTGGGTACCATCTGGAAGAGGATGTAAGCCCCTACGGGAAACTACGGGCCCAGGGCCTCCTACCTCCCGCCCCTTCATCCTCTGGTGGCTGAATGTCTCCCTCATAAGCGCTCAAAGGTCCCTGAATGGATAGATTCGGGTCCCCAGCTCTGCAGCTCTACGGTTTGCGGTGAACAGATGTGGCTCGGGGGTTCTTGGTAAGGAAATGAAGTCCCCGTGAGTCTGTTTAGCAACAGCCCCTCTTGGCCAAGGTTCCCCCACACTTGGGGCCAGCCAGGTTCACAGAAACATGCGGTGACAGGACACTTCCCCTGCTCAGCACCCTGGCACAACCAGGGCGTCAACCCAAGCTCTCCTGGGCCCGGTACGCTTGCCCAGAGCTCAGACTGTCTCCCACATTCTCTCCAGCATGCTCAGGGAGCCGCTGGGGCGCTGGGAAGCAGAAGGCGGGGTCTGGGTCCTGCTCTGATACCTGTGGACAGGAAGAGTCACTCAGCCTTTCTGAACCTAAGTGTTTTCGGGTGGAAGAGTGGAAAGGGGTGTGACGGGGCTTCAGACGGACCTGAGTGGGAAGCCTCGCGCACTGTGGTCGGCACCAAGGAGCTGAAAGGAGCCGCTGATGCTGAGTGCTCACGCCGCCCCCCCACCAGTTCTTGACAGTCTAATATATACCTAGACCCTGGGCACACCTGGACGCCCCCCCCCCATGTCTGAAATTCCTGGTACACCATCAGCCTCTAGGATGTATGCAGCCTTGGGAACAAACAGAATATGTACCACACGGAAGGAAGGACAGTATCGCCTACCAGGGCCCCGAGCTCAGCTCTGCAGAGAGTGCGGAAGCTCGGAGGACATGGGGTCCAGCAGAAGGTGGACAGACAGACTGGCACCTAGAAAATCCTGAACCTGTGTGGGGGCCACCTGGCACAGCAGGGAGGTCCACAATATTTTGAGGCCCTTCAGTGAGATCTTAAAATCAGGGATGGGGAACAGCAAGTGTGGTGGCTCACACCTGATACCCCAGCACTTTGGAGGCTGGGGCAGGGGGCTTGTGAATTTCAGGCCCAACTTTACAAAATGAGACTTTGCCTCAAAAGAAAAAACTAAAATGGGGGGATACTTTTTAAGTGGAATAAAGTGCCCCCCCCATATTACTAAATAAGTCTTTGGAGGTGTGAAGGGTACTACCGACTGTTGTATTGACGGGATATGGAGTTATTCAAGAAACAAGCCTCCTGGCCTGTCTGTGAGGACGTTCCTAGATTAGCATAATTATAGTGAGGAAAGCCCATCCCAAATGCAACCATCAGCACCACCGGGTGCCCTGGGATAACAATGGAAAATGCTGTCTGGGTACCAGCAGCCGCCACCCCCTTTCCTTCCTCACTCTAGACACGACCAGCCACCTCTTCTGCCACCTCGACGGACTGTACCCTCAATACCTGTGAGCCACAATAACCCTTAAGTTGGCTTGGTCAAGGGTTTTGACACAGCAGCAAGACAAGGAACTAGTACTCTGTTTTGTCCAGATGGGGGTCCCATGTAGGCAGGCTGATTTCAGACCTGCTGTGTAGCCAGGATGGTCTTGATCTCCTGCCCCTTATACTTCCACCTCCTGTGTGCTGGAATTGCTGAGGTGCACAATGCCCAGCTTATTCTGGGCTGGGGAGCCACATCCACAGCCTTGTGTATGCCACGCAGACACTCCACCAGTTGAGTGGTAGTGTTTAGACCTAAATCTGTCTGGGTCCAAACTTTGTCATCTTTTCTATACCCCTCTAGGTGTTCACTGCATCTTCTTTTCTATACCCCACTGGGTATTCACAAATCACTTCATTTAATGGGGTCCTCTCAATCGCCCCATTTTACAGTCGAGAGAACCAAGTCTGGAAGAGAAGGGTTCTGTGCCCATGGTTCCTTATCTAGCCAGTGAGTCTAGAACCAGTCCCTGGCCCTCTTGACCAACCCTGGCCATGTCCAGAGCGTTTCCTGCCTTCACCATCCCCACCTTCTTTCTACCCTCACTGTGACCCTCACCGCTGTGCCCTACACAAATGATGCCCAGCCTTTCTTCCCACCCCTTTCCTTGCCTGACTCCCAGCCTTACAGAGGGTTCTGCCCAGCATTCCTCTCCCACCTCACAGCCAAGCAGAAGCTGCTACTGCCGCCCAAGAGGGTGTGGAGAAAAGGAGGTGGCTTGCCAAAGCCAGAGCACAGGTTTACACGAGGCTGCGAGTCCCCGAACAAACGCCCCTCTGTATCTTGAGGCCTATTGTGACTGGCAGCCATCCAGCGCTCACCGCGGGCAGCTTCAGAGGCTGGGATTGGCCTCTCTCTTGTCCTCTCTGCAGCCCAGACCTGCCAGGTCCTGACTCGGGCAGGAAACAGGGGGTGTGCTCTTTCTGGAATGGAGGATGTGGGAGGCCAGCCAGCGTGAGGAGGGTGAGGGGCCATGTCCTGAGCCACTCAGGATGTCTGAAGTCTTAAGGTAGAAGGCTGAGAGGAAGAAGGTCACTGGGTCCTGGCTGGCCATTCCCTGCGAGAGAAAGCTGCCCTCTAGACACAGCAAGTGAGCAACAAAGGTAAGGTCTAAATCCAGGACTTCTCCCTCCCAGGCCAGGGTTCCAGCTATTAGGGGTCTACACTATGACCCCATGAACAGGCACAGCCATGAGACCACAGATCAGGACAAGGGGCTCCCAGAAAGAGTGGCCTATTTAGATAAAGCAGCACTGGGTCCCTGGCCCACCCTCCCTCCACACAGGTGCTCCAAAGCAGTGATTCTCAGCCTTCCTAATGCCGCGACCCTTCAATACAGTTCCTCGTGTTGTGGTGACCCCACCACCACCACAAAAATATTTTAGTTGCTACTCCATAACTATAATTTTGTTGTTATGGATCATAATGTAAATATTTGCTATGCAGGATAGCTGATACCCAACCCCTGTGAAAGAGTCCTTCAACCCCCAAAGGGGTAGTGACCCCTAGGTTGAGAAGCGCTGGGCCAGCAAGCTTTTCTCAACATAAGCCATCCACAGTAAGCACTTGAGCCTGCCATATCCTCAGGAAAGGCAGAAGAGGCAGAGAGCCAAATCCAGATCATGTCAGGCACAGTGCACAGGTCAGAAACCCCAGCACTGGGGAAACTGAGGCAGGGGGTGGAGTTAAAAGCCATCCTGGGCTACATATAAAGACCAGGCTGAACCCAAACGTTTAGAAATCGTGCTTCAGCCTCTAGAGTAACTGGAACTATCAGAGTGCTTTACCGTTCCCAGCAGACCATGTTTCTTCAAACAAACAAAACAGGCTGGGGAGGTGACTCAGTGGCTCAGAGCACTGGTTGTTCTTTTAGAGGACCCAGGTTTGGTTACAGCATCCACATGGTGGCTCACAGCCATCCACAACTCCAATCCCAGGAGATCTGATACCCGCTTCTGATCGCTGTGGGTACCAGTTAGCATCAACATACAATCAAAACTCTCGCACACATAAAATAAATAAATCTAAAGACAGTTAAGGGAGGGCTAGAGAGACGGCTCAGTCAGTAAGCTGTTTGCCACACAATCATGAGGACCTGAGTTTGAATTCCCCCAGCACCCACATAAAAAGCTGGGGGCTTGATTATAAGCCCATAGCTGGAGAGGCAGAGAGACTTAGAAGATCCCTCGGGTTCGTTGGCTGCCAGCCACTCTAGTCTGTTTGTGAACTTCAGGTCAACAGCTGACCCTGCTCATAAAACAGATGGATGGCATTGAGGAATGACATCCAAAGTTAAGCTCTGTCCTCCACCTGCACACCAATACATATGTCCTATGGGGGTGGGGCAATGCTATTATATATATATATATATATGATGTGTGTGTACATGTGGATGTATGGGTACGTGTGTGTGTGCATGTAAGAGAGAGAGAAACAGACAGACAGACAGACAAACTGAGAGGATGACTTCTGGGAGCCGGTTCTCTTCACTGTGGGTCCCAGGATTCGAACTTGTGTCATCAGGCTCTTACATGCTGAGCCATCTTGCCTGCATCCTGCTTTTAGTAAGTGGCTAGGAGTAGCTCTGCACCCTGTGTGGTTTATGAACAGGGAACAGTTCTGTCCTGGCAGCCGGGCACTAAAGGAGAAACCGGGGTGGGGGGAGCCTGCAACCTGGGGTCCACTTGAGGGTCACCAGCTGGTTATTTTATGCTGTGCAGTTCCCTTTGCTGTTGCTCTACCCTGCTCTGCACCCATCAGAAAGACAGTCACGAGCTTCTCCTCTGTGCGCGCTCTGAGGCTCTCTCGGTCCTCAGTTTCCCCGTTTGTAGAGGAGATGGCAGTGGCCTCCACAGTGTTCAGGCTAGCAGCTGCCTCCTTGAGTTCTCACAGAGGGTGTGGGGATGAGGAGGCGTTAGGAGACTGTTGAAAGAGAAGGAAAATTTCCTCTGTTGGTCCAGGTAGTGATGACAGAATTCAGGTACCTGTCTGAGATTAAAACAAAAAAATGCCATTCTGAGCCTAGTGTAATACCTTCTTTAAAATATATATATATATATATATATATATTTAACGTGCATTTGCATGAAGGTGTCAGATCCCCCTGGTGGAGTTACACAGACACTTGTGAGCTCCCATGTGGGTGCTGGGAATTGAACACCAGTCCTCTGGAAGAGCAGCCAGTGCTCTTAACCACTGAGCCATCTCTCCAGCCTGGTACATACTTTCAATACCAGCGCATTATAAACATTACCGGCTCCGTCCAGCCCACCTTAAGGACTATTAAAATGGAAGATATTTAACCCAGAGAAAAAAAACAGAGACCATAGAATGACTATTTTCCCCGGGCAGAAAATCCTTAGAATTTCAGGTTCTGCAGCCTAACCTACAACTCACTGCTATCGCCGCCTGCTGGACAGAGGTAGAATTGCCGCACTGATATACGCTGAGCTAGTAGGGGACCCAAGAAGTTTCCAACAAAGCAGGGCTCTTAAACCTGCCGGGGTTGTCACGTGGGGAAGAGAGCAGAAGGGAATAGTCCCAGTGGGTGAAAACTACACTGGCCGACATGAAGGCCAGTTATCTGTAGTTTGAATCCGACCCAATGTTTTGGAAAGTTGGGGCTTTTTAAAATTTCATTTAGCTTTTTAATTAACTATTTATTTTGTGAGTATGCATGATGGTACATGTGTGTAGAGGTTAGAGGACAACTTCCAGATGTTTTCTCTCTCCATCCATCCTGTGGGTCCCAGGGATTGAACTCAGATTATCAGACTTGGCAGCAAGTGCCTTTACCTGCTGAGCCAGCTTGCCAATCCCTATCTCATTATTTATTTATTTGTAATTTTTGAGACAGGGTTCTCATGTAGCCCAGTCCGTACTCAAACTCAATATGTAGCCAATGACGATCTTTAACTTCTGGTCCTCTCGCTTCCGGCTTCCGGGTGTACACACGGTTTATGCAGTGTTGGGGATTGAACCCGAGGCTGCTTCATACACTTTAGGCAGGAACATTTCCTACCAGGCTATGTCCCAGCCCCATGGAAGACGAACAGCTTTCATGGGTTACAGTAACTCTGGCTGCAGTTGCTTATTTGTGGCTTTTTCCGCTGGGATATTTGTTTTCCTTGTCTTATCCAGGGAGGAGCTTGGAAGCGCGGCAGACAAAGAGGGGAGGCGTTGCATTGAGGGGTTGAGGGGGCAGCATTCTTCCCGATAACAGCTCTTACACTCTGGGAGAAACAGAGAGGGATGTGTAAGTAAACACTAAAAGGTCCTGACCCTCTGCTTCCCAGCCCTGCTCCCATACAAGACAGTTAATGTGTGGGGAGCCATAGTCCCCTGTGGAGTCTGTGACTGAGGTAGAGGACCCCAGTGTGACTAAAGGCAGTGCACAGTAGGAGGCAGGGTCAAAACCCAAGGCAAGTTCTCCGCTCTGTGGGTGGAACCTTCCTTAGCCTCTCGGGGTTTCGGTCAAAGCCCAACACTGATGCAGGCTTCCCCTTCTGTGTGTGTTCTCTGGGAAGCAGTCTAGGGTGGTTCCCAGAGATGGGGTTATGCAGTCTACAGTGGCTCCCTGGAGATGGGGTTATGCAGTCTACGGTGGTTCCCAGAGATGGGATTTTGCAGTCTACAGTGGGTTCCCAGAGATGGGGTTGTGCAGTCTACGGTGGGTTCCCAGAGATGGGGTTGTGCAGCCCCAGACCCGCGCCTACCACCTAGTGTAGCGATGTTAGGTGGGGCTCCTGTCTGCACTGAGCCTCTGGCGACCCGTATGTCCAGTGGTAACAGTGGCCCCGCACTCCTTTCCAGAGTGAAGATGAGGACGGACCGGGACCTTCCTTGCCTGTGAGGCACAAGGACCATGCTCACAACGGTGGCTGTGAATTAGTCTTGCTCTCTGAAAAACAGCCTTGGTTTCCCTAGAGTATCCCGACATCCCCCCCCCCCCCCCCCCCCCCCCCCCCCCCCCCCCCCCCCCCCCCCCCCCCCCCCCCCGGCACAGGCCGGCACAGTGTTCAGTCCCCGGTCTTGGGCCTGACTTGGTTAACTGCAGTTGCTGGGGCCCCCACACATGAAAACATCCATATTCTTGCCACCAGTGTTCACCGCCCTCCTCCCACCTCCTCTAATGTGGCAGGAACAGAGATGTCATTGAGAGCCCTTGCTGCGGGTCTGCACACTGTTGTCCTTGAAGGAGGAGTTACTGGCCCAGCTGGAACCTGGAACCCAGCACCCAGGAGGTGAACCCAGCACACCTGAGGAGGAGCCTGTGTCCTGTGTCCTTGGGAGGCCACTCACCGGTCAGTGTGTGTGTGTGTGTGTGTGTGTGTGTGTGTGTGTGTGTGTGCATTCATGTGTACATGTGTTTATGTGTGTATGTATGTTTGAATATGTGTGACTGGATGTGAATAGGTATGAGGGTATATGTATGTATGCATTTATGTGTGTGCATAGTGCACATGTATGAGGGAGTAGAATATGTGGGACTGGGTGGGAGTGGGTATGAGGGTATCAGTGGGTCTGTGGGTGCATGTGTGTGTGTGTGTGTGTGTGTGTCCACCTCTGTGCATTATTGCGGTGACCGGTCACAGCCCCTACCAAGTGCATCTCAGGACAGGTGGGAAGGTGGAAAAAAAATGCAGGCTTTGCCGTTGGCAAGGTCAGGTTCATGAGCTGCCCTACAGCTTTCAGGCTAGATTAACACAAGAGCAAGCTCCACAGCCCTGAGCCTCAGAGTCCTGACTGAAGCCAGGAAAAAGGAAACCCTGTTTTCTGTGGTCTCCTGCATTGGAAGCAGTGGGGCTAGAAACAGGCTTAGGCAAACTCATCTGAGTACCTCTGCCTTGCTGTGATGGGAGAGGCCAAGGGCTTTGCTCAAGAACAGAGCAGGTCCCAGCACTCGGGAGGCAGAGGCAGGCAGATCTCTGTGAGTTCGAGACCAGCCTGGTCTACAAGAGCTAGTTCCAGGACAGTCTCCAAAGCTACAGAAGAAACCTTGTCTCAAAAAAAAAAAAAAAAAAAGAAAGAAAGAAAGAAAACAAAAAGAACAGAACGGGAGACCTCATTCCAAATTCTCATCCTTGGCCTTTTTTATTTTTTAGACAGTTTCTCATTTATATCCTGGGCTAGCTTCAACTCCCTTTGTAGCCGAGGATGGCCTTGAAATCCTGATCCTCATGCCTCCACCTCTCTGCTAGGATTACAGGCATTGCCACGGTGCCCAGGACATTGAACTTACCAGCGCTTTCTAGATGCCACTCAGTTGGCAGAGTACCAGCCTAGCAAGCATGAAGCCCCAGGTTCAATCCTCAGCACCACGTAAACCAGGTGGGATGGCACACACTTATAATCCCAGCACTGGAGACAAGGGGACAGGAGAGCCAGTTCATGTTCATTCTTAGCTACATAGTGAGTTCGAGACACTGTCTCAAAAAACCAAAAGTACTATTCACATCCTTAACCCTCTGCTCCCTTAGGACGGGGCCCTGCATGAAATTCTGTCCCTTACTACAGTCCTCCCTCAGCAAAGGGAAGATGGTGGTTTATCTGGGGGAGAAGGACAGATCTGAAAAAGAACCAGACATGGCTGTATCTTCAAGGGCTGGCAGGGAGCACACAAAGCCAAGCCAAGTCACAGACACTAGCTATGCTTTCTGGCTAATGGTGGCAGCGGGGAGGAAGAGAACAGCCTCCCGGACTCAGTCTGGGTGGGAGTCTTGTGGGAAGGGTGCCTGGCTTGAGACTCTGTTCTTTCTTCTGGGAAGCATGTGGCCCACCCCAGTCTATCTAAAGTAATCAGGTGACCAGAAGCCCAGGGCAGAAGACAGATATGCAAGGGGAGGTCAGGCAGAGCCCTGTAGGGGCCATGGAGGGGCACTGAGCCATAGGAGGGTCTGAAGATCCCAAGAACAGGGCAGGCAGGACCCTGGGCTTGGATTTGGGGCAGAGAAAGTGAAGGCAGTGCCTGCTCTATAGATTAACATGGCCAGGCCACCAAGAGCCTTCTTTTTTTGTTTTGTTTTTTGTTTTTTTGAGACAGGGTTTCTCTGTGTAATTGCCCTAGCTGTCCTGGAACTCGCTCTGTAGACCAGGCTGGTCTTGAACTCACAGAGATCCGCCTGCCTCTGTCTCCCTAATGCTGGGATTAACCACCACTCAGCTTTTTTTAATGTGCATTGGTTTTTTGCCTGCTTATATGT